TTTGTGCATGGGGTCAAAAGAGAAGGTAGGCCCTATTAAAGTAAAATTGTTCCATGGGGTAGGGCCTAATAAAATTATGGAAATGCACTTTTTAGAATGGGTAGGGAGTGGTACGACTATCAATTCATAATTCTCAAAGCTGAGGGCTAGGAAAATTGGTCAGAATTCATTACAAACGGCAAAACCAACCTGGTTGTTCTACCATGATGCCATCAGTCACTACCTCCTCTGGATTATCCTTTGAGTTGTGATTTTTGTCTTGCTCATATATGACATGGCGAACACATCGTAGTCCACTTGATGTTTTTCCAAGAACAAAGTCCTCTTTGGTCAACTCTCTCACGTTTTCTCGACCGCGGCGACATACATGTAGGTAAAACATAATGTCAAATTGCACCTTCTTACGACGACTACGAGCATCAGTAACATCGAAAGAATTGTACAGTTTTTCCAAATCTTCCTCTTCGATCGGGGGATAATGGTTGACTTGACCGAATCCAGTTTTTTTCCAGTTCCACTTGCCTTGCTCGGTAGGCAGTTTCCGATGCCACACAATTTGGATCTGCTACAATGCCAATCCCCCGATGCTTTTTAAGGTGTCGGCTTATTTCATAACGGATTCCACTTAGGCCATTTCTGTGGTATGATGTCCCATTCTTCTTGTTAACGTTTCCAAAAAAGTCTTCAAAAAGACTGTCCAGTTCTTTCACAGGAAGTGTCTCGAAACGAGTGTCCCTGCCTGTTTCTTCGCAGAATTCTCGTACAACGCGGACTGCGTAGTCGGTACAACGTTTGGTGTTCGATGAGTCTTGTTCAAAAGCTAAATCTTTTATTTGTTTTTTGGGGCGGAGAATCTGTGCCTCCGGGCTCAGCTGACATGTTGAGGCTGATGAGGATCGTATACGAAAAAACTAACTGTGTCAGCTCTGCATTTCCGAAGTTCTGAAGGCCTAGGCACCGTTACTACTAGTCAGTCAAAACGTAAACATAATCTTAATGCCGCTCGTCGCTGGCCGCCAAATTATATACAAATAACGAATGTTTGTGAGTGTGATGGTAAGAATAATTTCATGAGGTGACAGATTGAATGTTCTATTCCACGAGGCGAAGCCGAGTGGAATAGAACATTCAATCTGTCACCGAATGAAATTATTTTTTCCATCGCACGAACTTAAAACATTTGTTATTTGTTTTATACAACACCTGAATAAATTCTCGTCATTTGATTGGTAAATTATAAACTACAATTTATTTTGATTTTAAAGATGTTTAACTACCCCTTCACGAAAATGTTTGAACCCAACGCTGTAGCGCTGGCTCGTTGGAACAATACGCGCTACGCTGAACACGCACACCAGCATGCATTTTGCACGCAAATACCGCGTCATGGAACAAGCGCAAAGTGAAACGGTATAACGCATGGGTATAACGCATGGTCGCACCGTGCATTATACCGAATAATAATATGTCACGTGATCTACAATTCACCAATCAGATGACGGGGATTTATTCAGGTGTTGTATAAAAGTAAATACCGTCTGCAAATGCACTGCTCCCTCACTGCTATACATTATATTGTGGAACGTGAAAGTACTGCGGGGTACCAGTGAGTACAAGTATAGTCTGGTTTAAACGCGGTCTGCGCATAATGGTTTGGACTGTGGGGCGGGGACTAGTCTACATGTATGTGATATCACAATGTGATCTACAACGGGAGTGTGCCATGTATATTTATCGCCTGGTCAGGTGATCGTCCTGGGCCAATGAAAATACAGTATAAAGACAGGGTTATGACAAATCTAATTGATGTGCACACACAAAATAGAATACATGTATGTACGTACATAAATGTTCAGTTGGTTTATATTTCAGGCGTCATATGGTATTGCCCAATGCCATGGTGAATACGAATGACCTAACTGATGTACATGTACACGTAGTTGTAGGCTCTGGTGGGTTTTTTATATTGAATTATTTACAGTGTACACATGCATTTATTGAATTTTGTTGGAACCATTTCATCTAATACTCATCCTGAAAAGTCTCAAACACATGTACATTTGTAAAATACATGTATATGTACATGTTATGCAAGTTACAAGTTGACGATCGACACAAACTCAACAAAAACAAAACTCAAAATGTTCAATTGTATTTGACTTGATTTAATTTTGTCATCCTTTAACAAAATGAAACATCTTATCTTGGTCATGAAGAATCTATTCATTAAAACCACTGACATGCGTAAATGTTTTACATAAGGTACAGTTAAAAGACAAAAAGGGAATGTGCACCTTAAAATTGAAAGACACTACATGCTATGTTCTAATTCAATGGACAGTTAACTACGTCAGGTCAGGAAGCAATAAGATAAATGGTAATTATTTGATGAACACAGAACTTTTGCATGACTTACATGTATCTGTTTTAAACTATTAAAATGCAATTACAGTGTAATAACATAAATAACAGTTGATGACACAAAAAATGAAAAAGTAGGCAATTTAAAATAAAAAGAAACAAGGCCAAGGGTGTAAAATCTCGGCTTTAAAGCTGATTTCAGCTTTTTCCTTCACTTGCTGTGTATAAAAGTATAGGAGATGTCCAAACCTCAGTTTTTTTACACCTTTTCCAGCTGTTTTCAGCTATTTTTTTGTCGGTGGTCACTCACACCCCTGTGAGGCCTATGCCTGAAAATTCAGTGAAAAAAGTCTTATTCTTACATCATTTATGTTGTTATCAGCTAGACCATTAATCTATAATCTTTTTTTGTCGTGTACATGAACTCGCTTGACCTTTACTTCCGGGTCTACAGGAAGGTCAAAGTTAGGTGAATTCAAAATGAAGACATTAGCCTAAAATCAAAAAATCATAAAATTGGTTCACCGGATGATCATATTACCTACTGTGAACTTGTACCACGTTACGAAGATAAATTTTGTAATGTCATTATGATGCATCAGGTATCAAATTACAAGTAATTTCAGGGTACAATTAATTTTGACATCACCAGAAGAACGCCCTCTGGCAGAACATCAAAGAGTTGATCATTTTGAAATTTTAAAACACTGAATAGAAATTATACCAAATTGCCCCGATACATTGACATGTTTTCTGTGAGCAACCGCAAATGAATTTGCACGGTTTCATGATCATAACGTCATCAGTCCCGAAGTTACTGTAGGTAGCACAAATAATGACATCTTAATGTTGACCTTTTGCTTCCAAATTCTGTGACGTCATCAAATCGGAACTGGTGTGTTACTACATACGCCTTTTATTTCCATGCAATATTTTTACTTAATGATAAACAGGTATGCGCTCCTTTAATTAAATCAGTATTCCTTCCCTTTTTTGACTGATGACGTCAAACGTTTTTAGTTTTAAAGACTACTCCTATTCAGGCGCCTGCAGCCTTCGTCAATGGCTTTGAAGCATTCACGATGCCAGTAATTGTCAAATCTTTGTCTTGCAATAGTAGTCTTGCTCTTCAGGATATCTTTGATTGCTCTAATCCTCACAGGATCTAGTTGCCGCTTCCTCTTGACACCCCTACAATTTGATTCTCTCATCTCTGTCTTCGAAAATAATAATCGGACTAAGGAGAGGGCAAAGTTGGCCTCTGATGATGAATTGTCCTTTACGTCCGATATTATATCCGAAGACAGAGACTTGAGGTCCATTGTAGGGGATGAAGGGGCAGTGGTGCGAGATCCTGCGATGAGTCGAGTTGGTGACCTTGATGGGGGATCTAGGGATGCCGAAGATGTTGGTGGCTGAAAGCCGCAATATCTGATGCACTCCTTGATTTCCCGGACATCACTTGCCATTCGGCGCATCATCAGGAGATCCCGTAATGGGACTGCTACCATTTGATTGGTGTTGATGGGGGAACTGCTTTTGAGTGGAGACCAAGGATCCTGTATTATAAAAACAAAAATTGTTGTGATTGTCATTATTATTATGATTACTCACACCAAAGACATTTTTCACTGGGCTAACGTTTCTAGACATGCAGTACATACATGTCTACGTGTACATGTGTTCTACATGCTTAGCAAATGCACCACATGTACACTGTACATGTATTTACAATATGTGTAACCGCACGTACTAAAGTATACCTGTAAACAATTACATTTGTATAATTGGACCAACTTTTGGGGAAAAGGGCATAAGATTTGGCACACGTGTATAATTCACCTACCAAGTGCCTTTAATTATTCAGTGTGTATCAAAAAAAAAGATGCAAAAAAATATAAAATGGAATGCCAGACGTAGAATGTGTAACCAACATAGATAAATAGGTACGGTTTCAAACATACGCCTTTCCACTTTATAATGAGACATCAAACATCCAAATCGGATAATTAATCTCCACTGTGCCTTTACGTGCACAAACTGCTCTACCAATGTCACAGAGGCACTACACTTTATAAAACAATTTCTTGAATAACAAACACTTTTGCTCTATCAGGCTGAGTTTGCATAAGCGAGAGTGCACTTTAAAAAAATTCTAAATATCATTCCTATACACAGTACTTACACGTGTGGGGCTTGGTCTGTGCATCTCCACTTCATCCAACGGTGTGATATCCGACAAAAAACTGACATCCGGGAAATATGTAATCTGTTATAATTGTTAAAAGTAATATAGCCAAATTAATCACAATTTAAATGTTTACAAATATCTTTGTTAACATCAAGGGCTTCATCATGGTAGGAACACGAAATACTGTCAAACCCTGATAAGAAGAACACTGTTAATACAACAACCTTCTTATTACAGTCGACTCTCGTTAGTACAAACTCTGTTAATACAAAATTCTGGTTATAACAAACATAAACCCTTTGTCCCGACTGTGTTCCTCTTAATACAAAATTCTGATATAACAAACAATTTGGCTAGGTCCGAACGAGTTTGTTATAACGAGACTCGACTGTACAAGCAAACTTGTAGGTCCCAAGTCTTTGTTTACTTTTTTCCCATTACTGTTACTACAATGTATCTGTTATAGCAAGGTAATTTGTAAAATCACAAGGGCCTTGTTTGACTGTACATTGTATCATACATTAAATCATGCCACTCCGTGTTTTCATTGCATTAATGGCATTTCAAAGTACAACTAATGAATTAGCATTGCTACATACCCGGACTGGGCTATTGCCGTTAGTCTCTGCTGGAGGGTCTGGTCTCTGCTGAAAAAAAAAAAATTATGTCAAGGCAAAAATGATTTCACGTCTACATTTTAGCCTCAAATTTGAAATCATTCTCTCAGTATATCCCGTATCTGCTCTTTTTATGAAAGAACAAACCAAAATGCTGCTTCCTAATTGTTTCAGCAGGATATGGAAATTATCAAAAATGGAATATTGTTGAGAAAAAAATGGGTCACTTTGAGCTTTAAAATGTGGAACAGTATTTGTAAAGTGTGGAATATTTATTTGTGAGAAAATCTCAATATTTAAAAATAAACATCCCAAACGCCACAGATAGTTTGATGCACGAAAAAGCACAACTGATATTGTTTCTTAATTCATGTACAGTCGAACCCTGATAAGAAGAAGCACTTTTGAGCATTGTTCCTGTACACAAATGTCTCCCTATAATTTTTGTTGATACCAACTAAGCCTAATAGGAACTCCAGGAAATATTCTTTTTAAAAGGAAATGCCCAATGCTTCCTCTATTTAAAAACTCGAAGAGTCAATACAATCAGGGGTAATAAATACATGTACTGTATGCAAGCGTTCTCCGATTTACTTACAAACAACTGCACCTGATCAATGGCCTCATCTTCATCCTCATCAACGCAGAATTGGGCAATCACCGTAGCTTTCTTCTTCTCCTGAAATGACAAACAAGATAAAAAATTGTTGTTTATCTGACCACTTCCCAATTCTATTTCCATAACGTTTACATCACAGTTTCGGCTTCCCCTTTTATTGCTTAACCATTAAAAAAAAAAATTATTGTACATTGAGTTTAGTAGAGATAGCTAGCTTGGCTAGAGCTGTGGATTTATTATTCACGAACATTAGAAACCACAGAGTAAATGCACATCACAGTTACATGTACAACTGTACTTTTTAAACTTTAGTAAGTGTGGACACTAGCAAAGTATCTTGGAGTTTTAAAGTTATTTCTGCGGGAAATACCCTTATGTGCAGTACTCCAAAAACGAACATACATGTACTTGAATGATAAAAAAAAACAATCCTTGGTTGGTTTCTTCTTAGGTTGCGTCGTTGGTTTCTTCTTAGGTTGCGTCATTGTTTTCGTCTTAGATTGCGTCGTTGGTTTCTATAAAAAAAAGGGAATGAGCAACCCACTTATTACAAAGTAGTGCTTTCATTTGGGTTTAAGCAAGCACATGTACATGTATTCACTCTTATACAGGAAAACACATTAAAATCAAGCCAAGTTACATATTTTGCATTGGAAATTTGTTACTGCTTTGCAACACTCTTTCAAAAAAAATATTTTAATACAAATATTAACAACTTTAATTCACAAGTTTTTTTGTAGTGGGATAAAATAACACCTAACCTTTGTTTTGGATTGCACAGCACTTTTGTAATTTGAGCTCTTCGAGGTTTTCGCCTGGTGTTGAACTTGAACCTTGGGCTGGAAAAACAGTATTCATTATTATTGGCGATGTATGCGAAACGGGGCAAATCGTACCCGAGTCAACTCGTACCTGAGACAACTCGTACCAGTCAAGTCGTACCCACCAGTACCACCTTGTACATGTATGATGTAGTAGTAATGTTAGAAGATTAGGTTTTCCAATACCTTTGAAAATTTGAGGTGTGCAGCAGATCTGAAGTGTGCGCATTTTTCTTTTTTTTTGCTATGCTAGCCGATACAGCGTAGCGTGAATTTAAGCTTGGCCGACATTTGGCGTTTTGGGGTCGGTATATGGAATATTTATGCTGTAAAATTTCTGGATTTTTTTTCTCAGAAATGTTTATGGCATTAATGAATGTTTGCTATATGACAAAAGCTGAAAAACAACCTACCTTTGTTTTTAGGGACGCGTCAGTTGTATGAGCAGAATTCGTCCCTTGGCCCCCTGATACTTTGCATGTGCCTGCCTTGTCTTGGACCTGAGGTGGAAAAGAACCACGCGTCAATCTCACTTAATTTGTAAAAGATTGCACCGTCATTCATATGTTCTGCATATTAGACTGCACCATCACCAATTGAACATACACATTGTAGACCAGACCGGTCGTGCTTTAGCGTCGGCAAATTGTTAAAAAATATGAAAGCACCAACAAGTTCAATAACACGTCTAGAAGATTCAGAGAATCAAAATATTGTAAACTTTAAAATAATCGTAGGAACCTATCGACACCTGTGCACATTTTTTAGTAAAACTTAAAAGTCCTTGACAACTTGCACGTACATGTACTTGGATCACCACAAACCTTCCCTACTACAGTAGATGATCTTCTCCTGGAGCCGTAAAAGAAAGAGATCATTATAATACAAATGGTTGCAATATTTACACTAATCAAAACATTGAACAGTGACACTCTTTTTCTTTGTAGGTACATAAAAAGCAAGGGTCTATCAGGGGGGCGGTAAACAACTCTGATGACTTGGTTTTTCTCCCTTTGTTTTTTTTTTAGTTTTGAAAATTTTGGAAACTTCTTGACGATGGCTCTTTATTGTCCCTAGCAGAGTTAGCCTCTCCTTGAGAAGGTCTTCAGCGAGTTCAGCACAGGTGAAGTAGTTATCTGCTGTGACGTTGCCGCCACTCACTCTTGAAAAGCAGACAAACCATGTCCAAAACAACACGTTTGCCCAGTTTTGTCTCCCGCCGGTTCTTCTTCTTGCCCAAATAAGGCTGAGTGTTAGTGATGTAAATTATCAGTAACAGTTGAACCTAAATGTAATCAAACAAAACCGGATTAACTGGCAACAGAAAAAAAAAATATTGGGACCCATAGATCTCAAGCTGACATAAAATATGAAATCAAAATAATGGCAATGGGATAAATAATGGAAAAAACCTTGCAAACACAAGTACTGGAAGTTATCTAGACATCTAGGAAGTGGTTACAGAAATACACGTTAACATTTTTTTAATGAGTCACAAAACATGGGAATAGATGAATAGAGGTGTGCTTCATGCTGAGTTCTTGCACAAAGGTGATTAAAAGTAAGTGTATCCATGTGACGGATATTAACGGAAGTATTTGAGTTGATTTTGCTTCAGTCAATTATGCCAAATAAACATTTAGTAGTAAATTGAATAACTAGTCTCTGTCGTCTAGATTCCAGACTTTGCCAGTGCAGTTTCTGTAGTCTATCCTAATACAGCATTGCTCGTTTTTGCTGTTTGAGAAACATCCTTGTTGCTCTCCTTCGGACCCGTTCAAGCTTAGATGATAAGGCTGCTGTGTTTGGACACCAGGCTGGCAACTGGTACTCAGGAACTGGTATGACAAGTGACCAGTATAAAGACATCATCAGTGTAGAGGTTTTGTAGAGGTTCCTCCAGCGGTATGCCTTATTCTTCTTAGCATGGTCAGTGTACTGTTTATTGTAATGCCAAGGTACTTGCAGGTGGTAGCAACAGTTAATGGAGAACTTTGGGAGGGCTAGAGTCTTTGTTGATCTGGTCATATGCATTACCTTGGATTTGTTTGAATTAAGTTTCATCCCATTTGACATGCTCCACTGGCCGAGGGCGTCAAGGTCTGCTTGACTGATTGACTGATCATTGATTGAAAGGTTATGGTTCTGTGGCGGACTCGGCAGTTGGGGGAAACCCACGGGGACTGGTCTCTGATTTATTCCAGTCTGCAACCAACACGTATTATTCCACCAAAATATTACAACTTTGATCGCTGCCATTCATTCCTTCTGCGACTCGCGCCAGCATCATTTTCTTCATCGCCAACGTACCTGCGAATAACAAGCCTTACAGTATTGACGCCATCTTTGGATATGACTTAGTGATGCCACAACACGAACGTAAAGCGCCCAGACTCTATGCAATACGCTCTTCTGATTGGTCTACGTACACACCATAAATCTTAGTGCTCTAGACGCACACAAATAATTCTGCATCTATCCTGTTTGCCACACAAGACCCAGTTAACAGTGTTGGAGTCAAGACCTCAAAGTCCAAGACCAAGACCGAGACTTCCCCATCCGAGACCGAGCCCGAGACCTCATAGTCTGAGACCAAGACCTCATAGTCCGAGACCGAGACCTTTTTAAAAAAAAATCACACACAATATCTAGCAAGTTGTGTATATACGTGTTCACATATCAATGTAAATTTGATGCCAAAACTCTTCAAAACTTAAAAAAAAAAAAATAATGCTATACCATGCCTTTAAAAATAGCCAGGTACATTTTGGCAAGATTTTTTTAATTGTTTGATGTTCTAATGGTTTGACTAATTCATACAGGTATGTGCCCTCTGTCGCTCTTTGAATATTTCTAGAGTGCGACAGAACTGAAATGCAATGAATGGGACATGCCCGATTGAATTAGCCCAATACAGGTTTATCTCTTATTCTGATCAGGATTTACTGTACTCAGCAAGTTGGTAGTAGTACTGAAGGTAAACTGACTAGTAATTCTGCAGAATGTCCTTATTGCACTTCAAGAACAACAACTTTGTAAAGTTATCTGCTGACTGTAGCCCTGTTTGGTCTCACTATGATTCCACATCTGCCGAAGATACATTCCACAGGAGCACTGGAGGCAGGGACTTTTAGTGTTCTCAGGGCAAGTTTAAACAATGTCGGGTATCTGACACGATTGTTTGTCCAAAACTGTAAGCAATCAGAAGTCAGCTCGAGATCAATGACATGACAAACAGTCCATGCTACTAACTGAGCGGCGATATGCTAGCGATAAAGGTGCTCTCCCTGCTGCAATTCTTTTGACATGCACTATGCATTATGATTTGCCCTGTTGATACAGTGTCGACTCCATAAGCAATAATTGTCTTCAAACACTCTAGAATATTTGACGGGTCTCGTCAAGGTCTTGATCCAAGACCCTTGTCAGAGACCGAGATATTTGGAGTCGAGACCGAGACCACAACATTCCGAGACCTCAAAATCGTTGAGACCTGAAAAAAATGGTCTCGAGACTAGTCTGATTTCTGTCAAATAAAAATGTTGGTTAGGTTATAGTCAACTGATAATGTGTGTGGCTAACTACCGCCATCTGGCAGAAAGTCTGCGTTCCCTCTGGGGATACATTTTTCGGGTTCCCCAAGGGCTATCCACAACAACTCCCCCTTCCCAGCTACTGCTAGTATCAATCTTTTGGGCCTCGGGAGGCTCAACACTCAGTCGTTCCTTTTGACTAGTAGGCATGGCCGCTGGAACCTCAAACACTGGTTCTCCAACCAAAGGTTCTTCATTTATCATCATTATTATTTTCATCGTCATCAACGGAATCAGAAACTTCAACTGATTCTGCCAACACTCGCTGCTCAACCACTAGGCTCATACTTCCATGGTCTAGGTCGTCACCAGTGTAAGTCTTGAGCCTATCTCCGTGGACTACAGAAGCCCTACTGCCAGTCTTCATCTGCATTTGGTAGGTAACATCAGAGAGTCATTCCCCGGCCAATACTATCGCACCATTGATTTGGCCAAAGTCTTGTTAACACCCAGATGTTCACTTGTCTGACCACCGTGTAGCTCGTGAAGTACTACCTCTCTCAATTTATCAGGCAGTACATAGCACCATCTAATCTTTTCATCATCGGACTCCCAACTTCTATACAGTACACCATCCTGCACCTCCTGCAGATTCCATAAGGACCAGAGGGTCCTGTGCGCTGAGGAAGCGGTTGACACAGTCTCCCAACTTGGACGGCTGCCCGGCTCGTTACTGAAGCTTGAGTGGACTTCATTTAGAAGGCGATCTAGCACAGGATAGTACAACCTGATACAGTTCTCTTTCTTGCTGGAGATGTTCTCCTCTTGACCCACTGTCTCTTGGACAATTCTATCAGCTAGGTGGGATTGATATACAGTTGCTATGCTTCTGTAGCCCCACAAGTATTTTAGCCACCAAAACTAATATGTCTTGCATTTTTTTCTTGTTCTTTGATAGGACCGAGTAACTTTTTCCCTCTTGAAATTCATCGAGAGCCTGTTATCAAAACTGCAAGAAGAGGACCATTTGTTGTCAGATGAGCTAAAACAGGTTCAATATACTTCAATATATACTATTGTAACAATCTTTATGTGAATTATGTGTTGGTTATACATTCATGCGAAAATGTTGCTGTGAATATGAATGCAAAGGGAGCTCAATGTTATCTTGTTATAGTTTCACCTTACAAAACAGTGATTTTTTGTTATCTCACTTGTTTTATGTTCTCCCATACTTTGGAGGCAACTTACATGTAAATGTACATAGTAAAAAAGGAATGTTCGACCTGGTGATTAACTTACTTTTTAAGGTTTTTTTCGGAGATTGATTACCATTTCCGTTCAGTTTTCATTAATCATTGAATTGTAAGCTCATTAATGAAAATAATCTCTTGCAACTTGTTTTGGTCATTGGCATGTTTCTGTTAATCGTCTCCTGTTATTTTTCTGTGTCATCCACAGGAAGGTTGCTGACAGGTGATGGCCAGCATTCTTCACCAATTGTCCTGGTTGTCCACGGCATTTCTAATGTCTGGGGTCCTAGGATGGGCATTCAAGGATCAACCGTGCTTATGGTAGAGTACCTTCTCCCATCCTGTCTGCCATCAGCCTGGGACGCCAGAGCAGGTGCCCATTGAGGGGGTAGGTAGCCAGAGGGGGGAGCTTATGTCCAATTCAATCAGGCGTTAGCAGTCCTGATACCTGACAGCCTAGCTATATCGGTAGGTGAAGCATGATAGATACTAATTTAGCTTTATATACACCATGTAAGGTGACAGTTGGTGAAGATTTAGTCACTGAGCTTTCAGAGTATCATCCTAAACTGTCTTCCTGAGTGCGCAATCCTAAGGATGCAATCCTTTCATGGTTTCTTGATCCACACTGGACCTATCTTGCACACATTATCAGGGTTCATCAGTAACTTTTTTCTTCACTAGCCAGCTGGGCTAGTGAACAAGACTATTTGGCTAGCAGGCTACCACTAAATTCAAACCCTTCCTATTCTGTGATTAATTCTCTCAGGTCTAGGTATCCTCAGGACCAGGAGAATGCCTTCTACTCAGAGATAATCATTTGAGATGGCCAGCGTGTCTTCAGCCAGTTCGAAGACACAGACACTTTCACTAAAGCTGCGAAAGCTCCGAGAGATACTGAGCCCCAAAGACGAGTGTCATGATGGAATTTAATTTTGCTAACAGGGACTTGGCAACGTTGCATTTTATTCTTTTGTTTAGGTTAAACTTATTAATTTTTTTGATTTATTTTATGATTTTTATTTCAGATTTTCCTGCTCTAACCAAGGAGACCTTGCACTTGATGCTGGAATGCCCTGAAACTGCACCACTTTGTGATGACATCGGACATTACAGAAACTACATGTACATCCAAAGTTTCTTGAGTCTTTTTAGAATGCACTACACGAAGGCTATTAATGGAATAAATATTATATGGGCAATTCCATGCTGTTGGAGACACAAGACAAAACATAACTTAGCATTTTTAAAACATAAATAGTTCTGTTGCGTGTGTCCACTGTTTTGTGAGTTATGGGGCACCATCGCATCAGAGTCTGCAGTAGCCTTGGTCAAGGCGTTCGTCATTATTCGTCCGTGCGCAGTAAACGATCTGTGGAATATCCTCGCTATGCAGTGCGTTAAAAATACAGCCCCAACAGCGACCTCATGCGGCCACTTTATTTATGCAAATCTTTGGACCCAAAAGAATACCTCAGTCCAATCGTCCATGTCAGGTTTTGGGGGTGGTGCTCATTATGCTAATAGCCTAAGATGACCTAAAGTCATTTTCATGTTGGTTGATCGCTGTGTGGAAACTTGCATATAGTTAGTGAGCGATACACATGTTGTATGCAAATCTTTGGACCGAGAAGAACGCCTCAGTCCAATCGTCCATGTCAGGTTTTGGGGGTGGTGCTCATTATACTAATAGCCTAAGATGACCTTAAATGTTGTTTTTGTATTGGTTGATCGTTGCGTGGAAACTCGCATATAGTTCGCGAGCGATGCACATGTTGTATGTCGATGTCTAACATTACACACAGCACCAATGCACAAAAAAGTGTTGTTTCTGAAACGTCTGCAAAGGGCGAATAGCTGCAAATGATTTGATGACATCAAGATTTAGCAAGGTGTGATTGGACACTCCACATAGTAGCCCCGCCTACACTTATCTGTATTCGCATATAATGTCCTGATGACTTATATGGACTTTTGAATAAGTTTTTTGTTGTATTTTTTCAGTACTATTTTTCTCTCAATTTTTGTTACAGTGTAAGTTTTGAGGGCGTCTTTGTGAATATGGGTATTTTGTTTTTACGCATGAAGCTCTCTAACTAATGTCAGTCATTATGGAATTGCCCATTTACTTGGTAAAATTGTACAGTTTCGGGTTTCCAAATTAGTTACTGGGCCCTATTGTATTGCTGTTTATTTGTGTATTTTAATATTATTTGTGAATTTATTATTAATGTTATTAAGTGATGTGGTTGTACATTTTAATGAATATTCATAAATATCTAAGACAGTTTACCCATTGCCATTGGTCGAGAGATTGTCACATTGCTGGTCTGAAACGGTTGTGGTTGTACATTTTAATGAATATTCATAAATATCTAAGACAGTTTACCCATTGCCATTGGTCGAGAGCTTGTCACATTTGCTGGTCTGAAACGGCTGAAAAAGACATGGCTGGCTGGTGTTAGACACTTTCAAGTGTCACATGAACAATTTTGACTCCTGTCAAATCCAGTACCTTTACCATTTCATTGGGTGAACGTTCACAATCCTCACACGTAGGCATGTGCAAAAGTAAGTATTTCAAGTCCTAAATTCACAAAGCACTTGCACAGCTGCAATTGCGCAACATCGTGCAGAACGGGCGCGCCAGTCATCATAAAATGAATTGTTTATGTCTGACTCGCGAGCTGGACACTCCATTATATAGCTAGAGGGGTGTTTGGAAAAACATGAAGTGAAACTGTGGAACAATATCTTTGGAATTTGTTACATTTTGACCTGTTTTGACTTTTGGACTAAAAATGTTGGTTTTATGACGGAAGAGATATATATGAATGGGAATAAACATGTGCTTGGTTGGTATTAAACACTATGCTTTTATATAGGACCGGTTGGAGTCTGGATGCTGATAATTACCTTTGGCTCAGGTAATTTTCAGCATCCAGACTCCAGTCTTAAGCATAGTGTCTAACACCTCCCAAGCACACATTTATTCCCTTTTTTTAAAACCTTGCTCCTAAAAATCTAATGAAATCCAGAAACAAATTTTGTTGGTTGCTCCTCTTTTGGTAAAACAAAATAAAAAATTAAATGGGAGCGCCCTCCTTTGCCCACATATAGCTCATGACTGTTTAATTAATGAATTAATGCATGGTCCACAATAGCAATTAGTTTACACATAATGCAAACGGTAAGAGTGCTTTGAAATGTAAATGAAATGCAGTCATGAAACCAAATTTGTTTAAGTCATCAAGCAAGAAAGTTCAACATCAGTAAATAGTCCAAATATATCACAGGAAAGTTTGTCTTTTTGTAAAGTGCAGTTTGTGAAACTAAATTCCTGTTTAGGTTCTGGGAGGAGATTCAATTTTTTATGAAATAAATTTGAAATTTGATGGCATCGAATCAAGCCAAATGGCATAAGTACAATATTGGACTGTCTATAGAGGGCAGTATTCATATGCTTTTTTTTTTAACCTACTACACTCAAACCAAAAAAGAAAGGCCCCCCCCCAATATTTTTTTTCTAACTCAAACTACTGAGAACCTCTTGCTCAAATAACGACTAATCAGTACAGAAATTCCTTAGCAATCCAGCCATACTCTTTATTTGGCCCAAAACACTGATAACGTATACAAATTTATGCAATTTATGACAAATGGTACCGAAAACATATATATGGGCAAGTTGTGGTTCACACTCACCTTGCATGCATGCAAAAGTGCAACTTTTTCGTTACCATGTCATAAATTTCGTAATCTTGTACACATCATCACTGTTTCGGGCCAAACAAAGAGTATGGCTGGAAATAAGGAATTTCTGAACTGATCAGTCGTAATTTGAACAAGATGTGCCCAGTAGTTTTTGAGTTAGACGAAAAAAGTATTAAGGGGGACTTTCTTTTTTAGTTGAGTGTAGTACATGCATTTGTGATCGGTGTTTAACTTTTTTAACTTAATAGTACTAGAAATTATTTCTGAAATAAGGTGTCACTCTTTATTTGAATCGGTATGTTTTTCTTTGTGAAGTGGTTACAATTTTCTGTTATGTTTTCTATTATGTTTACTACTCAGTGTTATTTGTACATGTCATTGTTTTGTCTATGACTCACTGTTTGTAATATCCCGGAAAATGAAATAAATAAATAAAAAAATTAATTTTCTGAATTTAAAGGGAAGAAATGAATGAGATGCTGTTGGCAAAAATCACTGACAAGGTACGGCCCTGGGGTAAAAGCCAGATTGCAAAAATTGTCTCTTTTTCGCATTCAAACAAATGTTTATGATTAAACAATTATTGCCAATTTGTCCCCAACTCCCATGAAAAAAAATCTGTGAAAATTTCACAAGAAGAGCTTGCCACTAATATTTTATACATTAAATGGACAAAATTTAGATTTTTGTAAAGGGAAATAAATTAATTTCTACATTTATTACGTTAAAAATACATGTGGTTTTTGTTAAAATAGTTTTAAAACAACTTTATTTTAACTTTACCAAATTGTGAATTGGGTTACAGCAACAGAAGGTATATTGAATAAATGTCTAAATTTGAGAACAAAACAATTTGGATCTGTAGTGGTTTCCTTCTGAATATTCTTCTTTTTTTCTGGTTTATATTCCAATGAGGGCAAGGGTCATTTTTCCTTTTTTCAGTATTTCGCAATCTAACCTTAAGTATTAGTTCCAAGCACGAATTTTGTGTAAAGAAGCCTGTGGCCTGGTGGTCTAGCTTACTGACCACCAGCAACCGGGTCCCTGGTTCAATCCCAGTCGTGGACCAGGTAGTAGAATTGTTTCTTACGGCAGTGGTAAATTTTTAAAAAATAAAGAAAATAGTAGCATAGGGTGGGGTTGAACCCTGCACCTCTTGCATAGCAGCCAATCTCCTTTTCCACTAAGATTTAGCACTTTCTCCTCGTTTTTGTAATTAAAACCCTTAGGTTGTTTATACTTGGACAATTTTCAGCTCTGGCCAGATTTTCAAATTGCAAGGGGTACCCTGACAAATTTACTTGGATCTGAAGGTCTGAGGCTGGGAGATTGAGGAGTTAGGAGCTGTTGGGTTGAGAGCGGAAGGGTAGGCTTCGGGACTCTTAGCTGGCTTGTTGATGGTTGAGTGAGAAATAGACTATAAAATGAAGGGTTTCAAAGGCCGATAGGTCTTCAAATTGATAGGACTTGGGGTTTGTGGGTGTTGGAAGAGTTAATGGGGCTGGACTTAGATTTGGGGACATCATTGCTTCCTGTTTACTTCGACTACAATTTTGGATCGGATATGGCCAGACTTCTTATTTGAAGTCCTGTTATAGTCCAGATCTGTCTTCGCAGTCCAATCAGACTGGTAATGGACCTTTGACTTTTGGACCTGTTGAAGCCAGATGAAGAACATATAAGACTGCAAGAATGCTAGTTGCCAGTGGTCTGCGAGATGGATGGACTCTTAGCGTGATGGTCTTGATGCCACTTGGTTGAAAAGCCTCCCTCGATTGACCATAATTATAGGCTGCTGTTGGAGTAGGTTTTCATGTTTCATAATTCAGTTATTTCACAGTTTATTGCCATCTATTGTCAAGGTGTTTAGTGGTCACATGACAGTCTGTGCCAGTAAAATTTAAAGAGTTTTGAAGGAGTAATAAGTAGATTCCACATGGTATTTTGTTTTAATGTTTGCAAATCCTAGGTTTTTTCCCTTAATTTCTGACAACTCCAACCTGTGGGCTTCAAGGAGCGAAAAAAAATTGCAATTGCGAAACTGTTCATAAATCTTTGGAACAGTGCAATAATAATGCAAAAATGACAGTCTACAGCTTTGATTCTACAGTGTTTATTGTGTATTTCTCTACACTGTTTTTACATTTTTTTTCCCCAAGACAATGTCATCATGTGATGCATGCATTTACATAATTAACCAAACAAAATGGACGATTTTTTTTTGTGGTCTGTTTCAAGTCGATCAGTAGCTTCTTGCAGACTGCTGAATGTATGAGGTATGTAAATGAAATCTGGGATGATATTAGAGGTGAAAAATGACAATTTTTGGGAGGCCATTCCGGAAGGGTCCCTTGCTACCACACTGTAACTCCCTAGTTATGTCTCCAGCGCTACATGTGAATGAATACATGGAATCATGAACATGTCAGCTGGAGTTACTCAAGCTACATGTAGTCAACCAGGTGACATAAAGGCAAGTGCTTAGCCTTAATCTTATGCTAAAAAAAATTGTTATCCATTCGGAGTTTGAGTTTCTTCCCCCTATTTTAAAATCAAATGGACCAAATTTCCCTTATCCAGTCGAATACTCCCGGCCTCTCTTACCAGCAGCACAAGCAGGTCAGCATATCGTCTTGAACACGTGGGCCCGTACGCGTCTCGGACCCGATTCGGGCGAGTGTCACTTGACACCGACAGCTCCATGGTGCAATGAATGCCAATTGTTTTCACGACATTTACGAAACTGACACTACCAGTTAGTTGGACAGAAACATCAACAGGCATGTAAACACATCAGCAAATCTCATTCTTTCCGTATCTTCTAGCTCTAACGTTAAAGGGAATATACATCATTTGCTTTTGCTGTAATTTTCAGAAATGGATGGAATTGGGGGTTGGAAATATTAAGCAAATATAGTTACACTGACTTTTTGGAGGTTTTGGGTTCGAAAATGCTATAAAAACCAAGAAAAACGATCATTTTCCTGTAGTCTGGTTCCCTGACTCCATAAAAGAAGAAACAGAGCAGTTAACATACATTAGGGAATTGTAAGGTCAGGGAACCAGTCTAGCTGGCTCGTACCCGTTCATAGGTTTGTAATCGATTGCAAACAAGTGCAATGGTCAATTGGGGCCAGTATTTGAAAAAAAGCCAGTTGTTTCCAACGCTGATCGGCCGATCAGCGTTGGAAATTGATACAAAAATACCACTTTTCTTGAAAATGACAGTATACCAGGTGCCATAATTTTACAGGATGCTTTAGACTGTCATTTACCAACATCCTATTAAGGTATTTCGCAAAAACTTGGTAGTTTTATTTTTCGATGTTTGCAAATGTTGTATATTCCCTTTAATTTAGGAACGCGAAAAATATAGATGACGTACCGCGACGCTCCATCCACAAACTTTCCACACGTGCGCAGCTGTAACTTGCAACAGCGCCACCACTTGACCAACCGTAAGAGTTTGTGGCTAAACAAAACACTGTATAAATAGTTGATTTGTCTTTTTCTGCGCAGATTTTGTGGCTAAACAAAACACTGCCCGCCCGGGCATGGCGGGCCCACGTGCTCAATGACGAAAGTCTGGATTTTTCAGCCGAACGTGTGGTTGCGAAGGCAGATTTCTAAAGGTTACGTGGCGTAATACTTTTTTTTTTAATGAAACAACAAACACGTTCACCCCGGCTGGCGAAATCTTTGACAATTCATTTCTCCCGTTTGGAAGACCATATCTTCAGGCGCGGTTCTTAGGGCCAAGGTGTAACACAAGCGTTTGCAACAACAAATTAAACTGAAATACACTTAGATGATATAAGTGTTCAACTACTCGTGAAATAACAACTTGAGGAGATTTCTAGAAATTGACGTAAAGCCAAGGTCAGCTTTACCAGTAACCCGAATTGTCGTTTCAGCATGGATGGCGGCGATTTTTTTCACTGACATGCAGTGTAGCAGTGTAGAATTTAGATTTTCTTCTGTACGTAATCGGATTAACTTTGTTAAACAACGGCGACGCTTAGGCCTTCGCAACCACACGGATGCACGTTCCGATTCATCTCTTCGGGTCCATGCCCAGTTAGTCAGGCAGCTTAGTGAATGGATGTGGACATTCCGGACAAAAGCGCCAAGTTTTCCATACATGCTCCTCAATGCCTTAGCTTTCAATTTTTGATAGGAACCAACTTATCCAATAACATTATGGCGGATATCTT